CTATTGTTGTTTGCCTCCTTTTTGTCCAGCTGACGTTACACCCTAATGGACGGTAGCCATTTTTATTAGTTAACGTTAGCGTTTTTACGGCATAGCTCATAGAAAGCATCTTGCTTCCAACGTAACATAAGGACAGTATTCGTTTTAGAATTGGTATATCAGGTGCTAAACAAGTTACATCTTTACAGTCAGTCTTTATATAGCTGTTGGGTCGCACATTAAAAAAGTAACTAAATGAAGGACATTTAAAATGTGTTTCACAGATCAGCGGAAAAGCAGCTGATGTCAGAAATCTAACAAAAAACGATTTTAAAAAAACGCATAGTCATACTTACAGCTTGAGTTCACTTACGTTTCCTTGCTCTCAATACACAGACACCACCCTCTAACTGCAGTTGCCAAGGGAAACAGGACTTTTTATACTGGAGAAGCGTCATCGACTGATATTCATCCGCAAATAAAACTAGATCCATGTTCTAGCAGTTTTTATTGTATTAGTATTGTCCAGTATTTTCTTTTGATAGGGAAAATTTACATTACATTACATTAAACGGACTTTTGTACGTTTGCTTGTTTCAACCTGTAGTAAATGAATCTATTTTTCTGCCCCAATAAAGTGAATAAAATGAATGGCCCAAAAATAATTCACAACTTTATTGTTTTTGTTATGTTTATCCCGTGTTAATCTTACACTATGTATAGCTATAGCTGCCCTGCCTCAGTGGTCATAATAATAATATGTAGCATGATTAATACAACTACTGCACATGTGCATTTAAAATGATAAACCTAGGTGAACCACATGAATTGATGTATGATTATGCTATGATTAATATCAATTATATATCACCAAACAATAGTCCCCTCAAAGTCCTTTAAGACCCTACAGAGAGAAAATCCCAACAACCAGACGACCCCAGAACCAGGCTCAGAGAGGGGCAGCCATGTACTGCGACCGGTTGGAGGGTTACAGTAGGGAGGCAGGACAAAAGCTGTGACAAAAATAATTAAGCATTAAATGCAGAGTGCTATATAAACACCGAGTGAAGAGAGGTGAATGAAGAAGAAATGCTCAGTGCATCATGGGAAACTTTCAGCAGCCTGGGCCTGCAGCATAACTAAGGGATGGTTCAGGTTCTCCTGATCCTGTCCTACTTTTTAATTTATATATAAACAACATTTGTGATGTGTCAAAAATGTTAAATTTTGTTTTGTTTGCAGATGACACAATCTTTTTATTATTCTGGAGAAAACTTGAAAAAATTGGCTAAAGCTGAGGTTATTGAAATGAAAAAACTAAAAAGAAATGGTTTGATGTAAATAAATTATGGCTGAACTCCGTTTTCTGGGTGTAATAGTGGAACACAAGTTAACATGGAAATCTCATATTGAACATGTTG